CTTAATCTTTTCTGAAAATTCCATGTATATCCCTAAATGACTATTTTACCCTTAGACATTTTCAAAAATTCTTTTCATGTCCCAAATATGACTATTTTATCCTTGAACATTTTCGAAAATTCCTTCCATGTCCCAAAAATGACTATTTTACCCTTGAATATTTTTGAAAATTCCTTTCATATCCCTTTCGTCTTTCTCGCATCAGTAACAGTATCAAATTTTGCAAATTTTAGCAGATTTCAAATTACTCAGCTTTAGACAACCAAATTAGTCTCAAATTCAAATTAAACATGACTTATATCTAATTTAAGTTGAAAACAACAATTTTATCATATAATTCATCCTTAATTTCAAGAATTTCAACAAAATTTCAAGTTTTGCAAAACATGAGAAACCTTCAAAATCAATCATTCTAATGTTTAGATTTCCACTTTTATTCCTTATTCACATAGTACTCAACAATTCAGTCACATATATTGAATGAATTAAACTTCCCCTTACCTAGTGTGGTATTTTTACCGAAGTTTTCCCACTTAATTCAAGCTCTCTCCTGTTTCACAAGATCCTGCACGAGTAGAGTCTTGTTGCTTGAAATTTAGACAAAAGAAGAAGTATGAGAGGGAGAATTACTTGCTGAAATTTCTTGCCTTCTCCCCCTTTCAGTACGCGCATATATAAAAGAAAAATTTTACCATAAAGAAATTTTATTGCATAATAATATTATTATAATATATAAAAAAAATCATACATCACACTAAAAAACAAAAATGATTATGTTATAAGATGACAAGATTTCTGCATTGGCTTTTAAATTGGTAATAATAATATATCTCAACATAAATTATTCATCATAAATCTAAAACATAATTATTATAAACATATGACTTCTGATGGTAAATTTTCATGCTTTTGATGTTAACGGAATGTTTTAATAAATTATAACTAAAAATAACAAACAAATTTTGAAAAAATAATATTATATTTATATATATAATATATAGGGATAAACTGATAAAACTTAAATACAGTCCTAAAATCAACTTTTTTATTATTAAATCAGTATAATATAATATTTACATATACTATTTATCTGCATTATATATATTGGGTTAATGGTGTTAGTAAAAATATTCTTTCACAATTTTTTTTATAAATATTATCCTTAATAAACTCTTTTTAAATATTCGCATCACATACTTTATTATATTTTAGTTTTGTTTTGTAATATTATTTTATATAATACCTATCACAGTTTTATTGTGTAACATTATTTTATATAATACCTATCACAATTAATTATATGAGGAGATTATTTCAGAACTAAAATTATAATAAAAAAAAGAAATTGTAAAAATTAATTTATAATAATAATGAAGATAATAAAGTATAAGTCAAAATATCGTTAAAAATATATTTGATTTTCTATTGAAATGTAACTTATGATTGGATTCAGGAATAGAAAAGAAACCGTAACAAATAAGATTGATTGGATTAAGAAAAAAATAATAAAAAATAAAGAGAAATAAGTAAAAAAATGTTAGAGGATAAAATTTATTTTTTATTAAGAAAATATTAAATAATAAGATAAAATTATGAATGGTTAAAATATTTTTTTGCATAATTTATAAAAAATATATAAAATAAAATTGAGATAGATATAATTTAATATGAAGTATTTATTTAATAAGATAGATAAAAATAAATAAATAAAAATTTAATTTATATATAAATTATAAATAAATATTAGTATAATAAATAAGTTAATTATTCTTATATTATTATCTTTTAAAATAAATAAATAAATAAAATTTATTTTTACAATTTATTTTTATATATTATTATATATACTTAATATTTTATTAAAAAAATATTTTAAAAATAGAATATTCTAATTAAAAAGTTAATTTAATATTTATGAAAAGTTATATAAACTACATGTTTTCAATAGTATATAAATATATATTAAAATTAAATTATTTAAAAAATTATATCAATTAACATATTCTTATTAAATAATTGATTAAGAAAATAATTATATCATATTTTTTAGATGTTTTATATAATAAATTAAAAGTATAGTTAAAAAATGTTATTAATGAATCATTCTTAAAATATGAATTATTAAACATATTATTTTTTCAATAATTTTTATTAAATCATGTTCTTAATAAAAATATTTTCTTAAAATAGTTAAATTGATTAATTAATTTAATTAAAAATAATAATTTATTTTTATAAAAAATTATCAAAATAAACTTAATATAAACTCAATATAAATATTTATAATTTGATAATATATGTAAAATAAATATTTATATACAATTTTTTAAAATATTCATATAAAAATCAGACTCAATGTGACTATACATAATCAATTATTATGTTGGTCACATAATCTATTATATAGGTTAGCATAATCAACTATGCAAAAATATATGAATTTTTTTTTTCAGTCTAGCATGGAATTCAATTAAAATTTATTGGATAACACACTATGCACAATAATTATCTCAATATATACTTTTATAAATATATATTAATATAATATTTATATAATATTTAAATACCGATTGACCACGTAATAACTATCTTCTACCGATCACAAGGTATGTTTTAAAAGAGTATTTTAAATTTTTAAGCCATGCATCGATGATTTTCGATATTGTAAATCACTAATTTAAGTAGATGAAATATTTCTATATGGTAAATATAAGGACACCCTATTACTAGTTGTTACACAAGATGAAATGAACAACATACTCCTCGTTATTTTTGTAATTGTTGAAGGTGATATTCAGGAAGACATGACTATGAGGAGCATGAAAAGAGAGATTTTGTTAATAGAGTGTCCCTATATTTGCCATATAGAAATATCTCATCTACTTTGACTAGTGGTTTACAATACCGAAAATCATCAATGCATGATTTAAAGATCCAAATAGTCTTTTAAAATATACTTTGTCATCGGCAGAAGATAGTTGTTATGTGGTCAATCGATACTTAAATATTATATTATCATATATATATATATATATATTTATTATATATTATATTTAATAAAGTTATAATGTATATAACAAAATATAAATATGTATTTATCATATTTATAAAAATATATTAAAATATAATAAAAATATTTATATATAATTTTATATTAAAATTATTTTATATTATATTAATAAAGATGTATTTATCATATTTTTATAAAAAGATATTATTTTTACTTACAAAAGTTATTTTGTATTAAAAATATATTTAAATATTATATATATATATATTAAATATATTTGTATTTACTGTATTTATAAAATATTTTAATAATATAATTATAAAAATATATTTTTATGTTATATAAAAAATTATATTTTATATTTATTTCATATATATATATATGTATATATCAAATTTAAAATATATATATATATATATATATATAATTTATATTTAATAAATATTATTATATTTTAAAATTTTATTAATTTTTAAAGGTTAGGAGCCAAATTCCAATCATCCTGAAGACCGTATTCCTGAGGTAATTATTGTGCATAGTGTGTTATCCAAGAAATTTTAATTGAATTCCATGCGAGATTGGAAAAAAAAATCAAAATATATAATCAATTATCACAAAACTAAACATAATTAATTTCCATAAATCATTACTCTCATTTTTTGCATTAATAGTAAATAGATGAACCAAAGAAATAGTGAAGATAAACACAAATTACAAACAAAAAAAGTGTGAAAACAAAATATAAAGAAAATAAAATATGTTTATATAAAATATAAATAATAATGATTTTAAATGAGAATTTATCATAACTGAAGAATTATAATTTTTAAATCTTATAAATATTTTAATCTAATTCTATATACATTCATTTTCTTTTCTTTCTAGTTGTTAAATTTTTAATCTTATTTTAAATACATTCCAAAATATATTTTCTTTCTTTTTTGCTACGTTATTAAAAAATATCTATTATAAAATAAAATAAAAAATAGGTATAGTTTTTTTATTTGTTTCACATTAATATTTAATTAAATATTTAATATATAAATTGTATCATTATTAAAATTAAAATTATAATAAATATTTTAAGTATACATTTATTTTGTAATTATAATAAAAAAATTATGTCAGCATATGATAATATTTTTATAATTAACATTTATATCAGAAAATGATATTATTTGTAATTGTTAAAAGTTTAAAGTAATTTGATTTGAAAAAAAAAACGAAAGAGATAAATAGTGAGAAAAATAATGTATCTTGGATAAATATATATTTTTTAATTTGTTATTACTAAATATTTTATTATAATAAAGGAGATTGAGTTATATAATAATTTGTTATCTAATTATTCTCGTTATATATTTTATATTATATAAATTTTTAAAATTATTTAAAATATTTTATTTTAAACTATGATTCGTTATTTATTTATTTTTAACTATTTATAGAAATCCATGTTTTAAATAGTGTTAATATTTAACAATTAATTTCACATTTTCGATTATAAGTATTGTTTTCATTGCTTAATACCCTCGTTGCTGTTCTTCCTCTTAGTAGCCGCAAATTCTCTCTCTTTCTCCAAGAGGTAGCAGCAGCCATTTTGCACGCATCCTTCCTTCTCATAAACGCATCCTTCCTTCTGTAAGCGTTCTCCGTTTGATTTATAGTTTCGTTCTGTTGTTATTAATTTATTGCGCTTTTTGGTTTATGATTTTTGTGATTTCCTTTATTATTTTTGTTCCAGGTGTGATAGGGTTTCTGGTTGAAGTTTTAGGAGATATAATCTGAAAGATATTGTGATATATTTTATTACACTATTAAGAGAAGGTGCATAGCATTAGTATTTAGAGAATTATTCAAGTTTTGAATCTGGCCCGTTCGATACATAAGGGTCCAAATTAAGGCTGGAGGGTGATACAAACAGTACAGAGACCGGACGAAGAAGGGAAAACCGTAGAGTGAGAGGAAACAACCCAAACCCGTAACTTCCATGGATGCTATCGAGTCGCAAACGGATCTGCAAAACCGACCCGGAATCTTCATCATCGGATCCTCGAACGTCGGCAAACGGACTCTCATATCCCGTAACTCTCTCTTTTACCTTTTTTTTTCCTCGTTAAAATATTCACCTCTTCACCTTGTTTCCACTTATTCAATTTAATTAATCTGTAATTAATTCTAGGTTTTGATTATTCTCTCTCTTGCGACTGTTTTAAAATCACATCTTTAGCTTATTTCGTGCTTTTTTTTATTTTTATTTTATTTTAAGTATAGGATCAATTTTACTATGTAGTGGATTTTGACCTAGATGTTTTGGTATTACTTAATTGACACTAAATTTAATTCTTTGTTATGCATGCTATGTGGGTTTTTGAATTATGTATTGTTACTATTTTGAGTGGGGAAGCTGAAATTTGATATAACATGATGCTTTGCTGTTGTTGAGAATAGGATTGACCTCTATTGATGCTGAGGATGCTTTTGATTCGGTTTCTGAAGTGAATGTCCTTGGGTATGTGCACCCTGAATTATTCTATGCATGCAATTTGCTTATGAATCTTTTTGAATTTCTGTGTGTGAGTGTGTTTTAAATGTGGAATAAACAGGTGGACTATCAATAATAAGTACTATACTGCTGATGTTTCTGTATGGATGGCTCATCTTCGTGATGATTTTTCTGCTGGAAGCATGCCCGTGTTTCGACGAATGACTGCATTGGTGATGGTTTTTGACATGAATGAAGTTAGTTCCTGAACTTGATGTTTGTCCTTTGATTTGTTCTGTTTATATGGTTAATTACTTAATGCTTGCTTGATGAAGGTTTTACTTATGCAAAAGAATTATCTTGAACTACTTTCTTGTTTTCTGTGTGCCTAGTATGCCTAAGTGGTGACAATTGACAAATACACATGTAATGTTTCTTTAATTTTTCCTCTTTGTGCAGCCATCTTCGCTAACTGCACTTCGAGAATGGGTGTCTCGCACTGATATTCAGAACTTTGACATATTACTGTGTATTGGAAACAAAGTGGATCTGGTTTCTGGGCATCCAGCTCATTCTGAATACAGAAGGCGGTTGTTGAAGCTAGAAGAATCTGCTGTAGATCTTTACTCAGAAGAGTATGGAATATCTGAATCAGAGGGGACTAGTTTATTGGGGGATGAAGCACCATCATGGGACATCAGAAGGTCCTGTTTGGAATGGTGCACCGATCACAATATTGAGTTCATTGAGGCATGTGCATCCAATGCTGATTTTGACAAATGTAAAACTTCACTTCCTGTCGGAAGAAGCTGATCTATAACATATTGCATATAACTCTGAATTTTGCTTTGACAAATGCTCAGTTTTAGATGTGGATGAGTCATATTTATAATACATTATTAATGAGAGAGGAAGGTGACTTAGAATGATGAACATTGAAAACTATTTTCAGATTATATGATATCCACTCAAATTTGTTTTACAGGTTTGTCCATTGATGGTGATTTACAAGGAGTTGAACGTCTCTATGGTGCTCTTTCTGCTCATATGTGGCCTGGAATGGTATTGAAATCTGGTGATAGGATAAATCAACCATCATTTCCTGAGAAAGAAGGTATTTTCTTTCTTTCTTTTTCTTTGAAGCATGCTAGCTACTTACTATTTTTGTCAATGTAGAATAAATACAAGCACTGATTTTGATTTATCCTTTTTATTTTCGCAGAGTTATCTTCAGATGAATCTGATTATGAACCAGAGTATGAGGTATTATCAGCTGGTTCGGCTGATCCCTGGGAAGAAAGTGAACAAGGATGGGTTTCTGCATCTTCCTTAGATGCAGGGGGATCATCTACTCAAAACTATCCCTGTGTAGAGGGTCAACATCAGGATGGAATTAAATCTGATAAAGAGTCTGCGCCCACAACTTCAAGTGCTGAAATTCAAGATAAGAATGAGAAGGATGTGCTGCACAATATCATGGATTCCGAAGGAGATGAGAAGGCAGACGATGGTAAATATCTTGACTTAGAGGATTTGGAACAGTTGATGTCTGAGATTGGGAATATGCGTGAAGGCTTAAGATTGATGCCTGATTTTCAAAGAAGGGAAATGGCTGCAAAACTAGCCATGAAAATGGCTACCATTTTTGGAGGAGAGAGTGATGAAGAGAAAATTTAGTTGATTTTGGATGTGAGCTCAATGATTTAGTTATAGGTGTAAGGTTAGATAGGTGAATGTTCTTCTAGGTTCCTTGTATGAGCCATCGCGTGGAAGGAAGGAGACGAGCAACCTTTGTTGCTCATGGACCAGGGGCACCTTTTTCATGCTTCTGCTCTCCATTTGTCTTGGTCACTAGTGAATGCTTTTGATTTAAGATCAATTACTCCTGTTATCTTTATACACAGTTTATTAGTTTGTACTTTGTGGAGTGGAACATTTTGTTCAAAATTTAGTGGTAATAAAATGTGATACCTTATCAACTTGGTTTAGGGCTTTAGGCAAAAATTAAGACAAGGATTCATCTTAATATATACTAATATTATATTTTATAATTAATTAATTATAACATATCACTCTCTAATCTTTTTAATTTATCTTTTAGTATAGTTAATCTAAGATATGTTAAATCTATTTGGTAGCATAATTGATCGAAGTATCTATTTTGATTGTAATTTCTTCAATGGATTTTCATATAGATGCAAAACTTCCTTTCTTGTAATTTTTTAATTAAGTTATAAGGCCTCTTAAACAACATTTAGATTGCATGATTTTACTTTAAAATTAAACACAACAAACATATCATGCCAAATCTTCATTCCCAATAAAAAATCATAATTATTTGTCTTATAAGTCATTAAACATATGGTTTTATTCCTTATATTAAGATTTTCATCAATATTCGATAATGGAACAAGTGCATCCTTTATATTCTTGTGTTTTAAACTTTATAGATTTAATATTTTCAATTCTATGTGTTTCATGTTGTCTGAGACAGTGACTTAATTCAAAACTTTGATATTATTTTCTTGTAAAATTTTCCATCATTTGGTGGAAGAAGTAAACAAAGAATAAATATGTTACAAAAACTCTAAAGAGAGTGTCTACATACTTAATAAACTTTTCCATAATAAGATCAAATTCCACTAACATCTCAATTAAACTCGAAAAGTTTCAATTATAATTTTGGTATATTTTTTATTTGTCCAACAAAAAGCTATATTATTTATAGAAAAATGTTTAATAATAGTTATAATTCTTACCAAAATCTTATTCCCATATTCCTCTTGTTATGAATTTATATAGTTATATCTAAAATGTTTCTTTATTGTCTTAAATTATAAATATTTAAAAAAGCTTTATTTGATATACTATTCAAATCCTTTTTTTTTTTTTTTTTCTAAACTCAGCTTATAAATTTCCATTATACTTTTGTTTTTTTTACTAAGATTAGGGCTATTAATATTGTTAAGATTTTTTACTCATGTTTTTATTATTATTATTATTTGCCTTTATTGTATTAATATTATTTAAAATTTATAATGGATAATTTTTTGTTATATTTGAATATGTTAAACTAGTTATAACTCCGTTTTATTAGAAGTAACAAATTTAGAAAGAGTATCTTGTTGATCTTGAATAATTTTTCAAATTTTCTTCTTTATTTTTTTTACAGCTTTTCAAATTTAGACACATAGCTTTTATTTGACATATTTTACTAATTGACTAATTAAAAAGATAATGATGAAATAAAAAATATGAAAAATGCAAGATTATATCGGTTAATAATTTTTTTTATAGTATAGTAGTTTAAAACAATTAAAATGAAAAAAAAACTAAGGAGAAAACAAAGAGGTCGAAGACCAATAAGTAAAAGATAAAAATAAATTATGAGTAACTTCTAATTTAATCAGTTGACTTTTAAGAATTTTAAATGATAGATAAAAAATTAAAAAATATAAAATATGAACCTTAAAAAATATTAACCCATTTATTAATTTTCATAAAAAAATTATTTATATCAATATTTTGTTAAAAAAATTTGAGAGCCTTGAATAATGATATTGTTCTAGAAACTTCATTAACAGTTTGAATTAAAATTTTACATTAGAAATAACAATCTAAAGTATATTTTATATCCAAAATTATATTAAAGGTTTCACCCTAAATCTAAAAATATAAGTAAATACAAAATTTATTTATGATTAAATATTAATTAAAATCTACTTTATATTAAAATTTACCTATAACATGAGTTTTATTGAAAATCCTCTATTAACTTCCTTTTCCAAAGCACCTCTCATTTTTATTATCAACGAAAAGAAAAATATTATATGGTGGGAAAAATAATTTTAGGGGTTGCAGAAGCAAAGCCTCGTCTTAGTAGTGGCCCAGGCCCAAAACGAGAGCAGAACTGGGAGACCATTTCTGAAACCAGGGAAGTGCAAGTGTGATTCCAATTTCCATGGCGGAATCTCTGTAGTAACCAGCCCGCGCGCCCACACACACACAGTGACTCACTCACTGCGCATTTCCAGACGCACGGAAGGGACACAATCGATGGGTCTTCCTCCCAAAGCCACTTTCCCGCTCTCTCTTCTTCTTCTTTTTTTCCTCTTTCTGGTTTTATCCACATCAGCACAACAAGAAGAGTTCTCGGAGGAGTTGCTGCTGAAGCCCTTACCCGATCGCAAGGTTCTCGCGCATTTCCACTTCCAAAACGAAGCCCCTCTCGCCGCCGATTCGTTCGCTCGTCACCACCACCTCTTCCCCAAATCTATATCTCAGCTGGTCCGTGCTTTCTCTTTCTTTCTCTTGTGATTTTGTGAATGAAAACATATGAATAGATTTTAATTGTTTACATGCCTCGATTTCGTGCCTTTCAGTGGGATGTTATTACGCTTTTCTAAATAATGGAGATGCAAAACAAACTTTATAAAAAAATAAAATAAAAAGTTGAGGTCTGATGTGAGATTGATAACCTTTGGTTTAGTAGATGAGATGTATGTGGACTTTCGTTAGTGCTAAATTTGGATAGATGATTTTTTTTTTTTTTTACTTGTTTCCTGCACTATTAAAAATGATTGTTTTGGCTTCCAATAAATATGTTTTTAAGTAAAAAATGTTGCAGAAAAGTGTGTGCAGAGTTTGGAAGAATGCATTTGGCTGGTGTTGATTTATGTTTAGGGAAGCATATATGTCTGCTCCGCTGCTGCAAGTTATGATTGTTGGTATCTTTTTTATTTTGTAAGAAGAAATATCAACAGAATAGGTGGTAGACAAGAGAAATAGGAAATGAGAGACTCATCGCATGAAGTCACTATAGCACACATTGTACTGCTGCTAATTGACATATGTCTGTGAAGTGACTTTTTTTTTGTTGATCTAGAATATATGTTTTATAAAACACATTCTGTGTGCGTCAATAGTTGTTTTAACTTGTATTTCTTTTGTAAAACACAAGCTTCAGTGTTTGAATGTTTCTCTCATTGTACCGCATTGTTCTATATCAAGTATCCACCAATTGATCAAATAAGGAAAAAGTTAAGTATGTAGATTTGAGTTTTGATCATTATTGTTTACATGTACAATCATTAAATGAAGCATTCACCTTTTAGTTCTCTTTGCTTTTCAATTTTCATCTATGCCATTCAGGTTTTTGTTTGGGATATTTTCTTCTATTGCATTGCATTTTATCCCACATAAAAAAATGTGTTGCTGAAGGAAACTAATGATGGTCCTAATATATATTATTATTCACAACAAGAATTAAGAACCAGAGCCTTTACCTGCAATAATGTTTTTAAGGAAATCCTCTATATGAGATCAAACACTAATTAACCATCTGGGTTTCACTGTTTCTATAGTTGTAGTCAAGTTTTCTTTGCTAGATTTTGCTACTTTTGTGCTTTTACTCTTGTAGCGTCAACATCGTATGCTTTGTTACATTCTGATTGCTTATAAAATATAAAGCTTTTCCTGAATATACTAAGTAACATGTGGATTAGTGTTTAATGAACAGGTTCAAAAGTTTCATATTAAAGCAATGGAGTTATCTTTTACACAAGGTCGATGGAACTATGAAAGATGGGGTGGATTTGATCCAATTTCAAGTCACAATGCAAAACCTCCAGGAGTTGAATTGTGGGCAGTTTTTGATGTCCCTCTGCATCTGGTTGACGCATCTTGGAGAAATTTAACCCATTCGCTATCTGGCCTCTTTTGTACTTCAATCAACTTCCTGGAGTCTTCCACTGCTTATTCTTCACCTGAATGGGCATTTCAATCAGCTTTGGGTAGTTTAAGATATGGTACACTGCCACGTGAAGCTGTCTGCACTGAGAATCTTACCCCTTGGTTAAAACTCCTTCCCTGTCGAGATAAAGCTGGACTCTCTTCCTTAATGGATAGACCATCTATTTACAGAAGCTTTTACCACTCCCAACGATTGCACTTGACAATGTCTTCAGCTGCTTCAGATGGGTCAAGATCAGGAATTATTCTAGAACAAACACTTACAGTCGTACTCCAGCCTAATGATCAGAATGCTGGTATGAGCAATGTTGGTGAAATAAAGATACAACCAAGCTGGTCCCTGAGTTCAATATTTGGAAGAAAAATCAGTGGAAGATGTGTTCTTGCCAAGTTGAGTAACGTTTACCTTCATGCTGATAGAGGTCTAGTTGCTCAACTTGAGACTTCCCAGAAGAATACTGCACATTTTGCTACTAATGATACAGGTCCTGAAGATTTTAGAAGGAATAGTGGCTTTGAATTATCTGTTGCACCCAAAAGGGTGCTTAAAGAACTGGACAAGAGCTCCTCCGTACTGTATGAATATCCAATCAAAGAATACAAGGATATTGAACAATTTGATTTAGGCTTAATGTGGGAGCATCCAATTGTTTGGTCCAGTCCACATGCACCTTTTTATGCTAGTAGATTTTTGGTGGGAAGTGGAAATGAAAGGGGTGCTATTGCAATATCCTTGAAATCAACAGAAATGACCCAGCAACTTGTAGCCAATAATATTGAAGATAGTTGTAAGTTGCAAGTCAATGTTCTCCAAGTTGTGCCTTGGTATGTTAAAGTATACTATCATACTTTGCAGTTATTAGTTGATGAAAGGCCTCAAGTACTCACAGATTTTATTGAGAGAATGCGTGTTTCGCCTTCTGAAGACAAAGTATCGCCCGGGATGATGGAGCTAGTCCTCCAAGTTCCTTGTGCAATGAAGTCAGCTGTATTGAGTATTGAGTTTGACAAGGTTTGCTCAAAATCTTACTCACAATATGTAGTTTTATTTTTCCCTCTTAATATTTACCTAACTTTTTTATTGACATCAATGTGGAAGTTTGTCTGTAAGCCACTTCAGAAATCTTAATAAGGAACTCACTATATTATTTTTTATCCGTTCCAAAATGACTGCAGTTTTAACTTTGTAATATGTCCTCAAATCAATTACTTTCTCCTTCTTATTCAAAGTAATACATTTATGGAAAGAGTGAGGCTTTTTCAGTAAAATTGTTCCAAAAAGTGCTTTATTTATTGTTTTTCTTAATAATTGTGCAATAACCTGAAACAACAGTCATTGTGGAACAGAGAGAGTATGACCCGTTAGACTGCTGTTAATACTATATGAAAGCAGGAGGAGGAATGGATGAAATAGTTTGTATTTATAACCTTTTAAAAGTAGTGACGGAAGTGAGCCAAGCCATGCCTAATCTGGCGCTACACGAGTAAACGTAAACTGCCCATTAAGCTCATGGGCTTCCCTTAAATTAGCCAGTACGGTAAAATATAAACGCACTTAACCTTTTAACCTTTCTATTTTTGCCATCTATGCTTAGATGGGCATGGCTGACCCGTTTATAACATACAATTAAGTATACGTCACCACGGCATAAAAGTGATACTAGCTTTGCTTTTTCATGGGAAGCTACCTTATGTATGTTCATTTAAGATCATTTTAAGACGAATGAATAGGAAATTGGTTTCTTCTTCATATCAAAATGGATTTTGACTTGCTTTTGGTGGTCTGCATAGGGCTTCTTGCACATTGATGAATACCCTCCAGATGCTAATCAAGGATTTGACATTCCATCAGCAATAATAAGTTTTCCTGACTTCCATGCTGGTTTGCAATTTTATGATAAATCTCAAAGCAAGTCACCGCTGTTGTCAAAATTACAGGTTATTTGATTTGAATCTACACTCTTTCTACTCTTGAAATTTTTATGTATAATATTCCTTGGTTATGCCTCTAACTATCTGGATCTATAATGCAGGAAAAGAGTCCTGTTCTCTCTTATACAGAAGTTTTGCTTGTACCCCTGACGACTCCTGATTTCAGTATGCCATACAATGTCATCACAATTACATGCACAATTTTTGCTTTGTATTTTGGATCTTTGCTAAATGTTCTCCGAAGACGAGTTGGAGAAGAGGAAAGACTTTTGAAAAACAAAGGTAAACCTCAGCTCTTGCTGTGTCTGCATCCTGAGACACTAGTAAATCAATTTTGTACAACAATGTGTAATCCCCAAGCGTGGTGCTTTTGTAATTAATAAAGAAGTGCTACCTAGATAGCCGTAAAAATGAAAGCATCCTCACCTCTGTCATTTTTCCAGGTTGTTACCTTCTCTGGTATTTATGATTGCATGCTGATATCACAAACTAGACATGCAAATCCAATGGCAAACTAAAAGATTGAGTCACATTGGTAGATTATTATCTACTTGAGCTTTTTGGTTATGGTGATGCATGCATATTAATATGCATGTCTTATTATTTAAGTATATTGATAGAAACCTGGTATCTCACTAGGAATAATAAGGGATTTTTTTCATGAATACAGTGCCTAAGTTGTAGGTCATCAGAGCTCGGCATATCCCAATGCCCGAAAGCACCAATTCTCTTACAAATGACTAGATTAACAGGCAACATGTCTTATTTCTTCAACCTAACTAATGGGTATATATATGAAATATATGCTTAAGTTTGTCTGGAGGATTTAATCTAAATTTTGATCTGTAAGAGTAACATGTACTTCATATGCTACGTTATTGTCTGCAGACCTAGTGTTATATATTTTTGGCATGTCTTCCCCCTTTTGGTTGCTAATGTTTGTTATTTCTCTACCCGTCTGTAGATGCAAAGAAAGGTGTGTTCCTTCGTCAAGTACTAACTAATTTATCTGCCAAGCTTAGAGGCAAACCATTGGAATCAACCCCGTCCGTATCTTCTTCTTCCTCATCATCGTCATCATCCTTTGTTAGTCCAAAATTGATTCTCAGAGTACTATTGGTTGCAGGAATTGCCATTGCATGGCAATACTACTCACAATGATATCTTCCAATCCGGTAGTTTTCCGTGTACTATATTCTGATTGCATATATTTTATGTACAATACAAGCCTTACTTCCACTGCCCGGTGTACTTGCATTCATATCTGTTTTTTGTCGATCAAAACAATGTATACGAGAAAATTGATTGATTATATATAAAAAAATTTGTCCACCTTATTTTCCACTGGTTTTAAGCAATAAAATGTGCAATGCCCTTTTTCACACTAGAGAACACGTGTAACTCTGATAATTGGTAGTCACTGGAAAAGCTCTTAATGTTGTGGTTGAGGGTTTGAGTTTTATGATGGGTGTTAAGTGTTCACATCAGTAGACACTGCTTCCGTAGGAGTCTCAAAGCTAGAGGGATTTAAGAAACCTCAGTAAGGTCTCCTTTTAGGTGTGTGATAGGAGTTGTATCACACCTATTTATTCTAGTGTATCTTCTAATAGTCTCGAAGCATGGTCGCAGTACCAGTCTCACACAAATATGTTTAGAAGGTGGCATTACACGTACCTATATAGTGGAGCTTGCATTCCTGACATGTTTAGAGGTGGTGTACCCTCCACGGCTGCTAAGAATACTTACATGTCAATGACATTAGAATGGATTCTGGGAAAATGGTTGAATTTTCTAGTTCTTTCCGGATTAAATAGTCTGGCCACAGGGGATGCAACCTGTGTTTTTAGTGTATGTCTTTCCGGGTTAAAGGTCCGGCCACTAGGGGATTCAACCTGTGTTTAGTATGTCTCGATTGGTTAGACTGACTAAGGAGATCACCACCCTTCAAGCTCGGCCAACTGGTGGGATAATCCATCTTTTGTCATAATTTCCCATTTAAACAACTTACAAAAAGCATTTTTGTACTTTGCCGAAAATAAAACATATATTTTCTAACTATTATCTCACCATTGTTATTTACAGTGATAACCGATTATGTTATCCTGTTCTTGCAAGCCAATAATAGTATATACAGTTTTTTAGTCTTTCGATGAAAATGAAGTTCAACATAACTGAGTAAACATGAGAGCCCTTTAATATTTTCACAGCATATCATACAGATAAACGAATTTACAGTTATTATTGACCAAAAAGAGCAAAAATGAAGAAATGTCAAATAGTGCTTTATGCTTTCTCCTTTTTTCCTCAATGAGAGGATTTATCTAATCCTTTTGTAGTTAGTTGTCACGATTGCCTCGTCTTCTCTTATCCGCTTTAGATTCTTACTTGCATAGCTGCATGTAAACTGGTTGCGTGCAATGCTGCCACAGAGATCATCAACTTTATCTCGAATATCTGTACAGAGTTCATTAAGTATGTTAGTGTTAAGGCAGTTGCAATCAGATAGGAGATTTTTTCTTAGGAAGGGAAGGGGGAAGACTGAGTTGAAAATGTTCCCATAACCAAGAGAAGTTTAGCCACTTTGGTGAAGAAAATGTAATGAATGCTGAACTTGCCTGACTTGTCCTCATTTATTTTTAGCTTCTTGAATAGGTTGACATCTTCCAATAGTTGCTTTCTCTTGCAGCTTTGGCCATTCAGAATATCACCTGCTAAAAAGAGCATAGAAAAGTAGAGTTAAAAATTCTTTCACACAGAATGACTACTTCAAATTTTAAAATATTTACTTATCTTTTTCAAATGTTTACAAACTTGTAGGGTAACTCCTGAATACCACAAGCTTTAAGATACATAGTATGGCAACATAATCGTAAAGTATTATTTATAATCATGGAACTAAATAGTGTACCTGAGGTGCTCTCTTTCAACTTCTTACTCTTGAACAAGTTGATAGCTTCCGGTTGAATTCCTTTAATGTTACCAGCATTCTCATTTTCCATAATCTTGCCAATCCCACTTTGAAAATTTAGTGAGTCATGTCGTCCTGCATGATCACAACTATACTTAGGTAAGGAGAAAATATTTATCTAGGAAAATACATTCTTCTTAATTATAAATAAACCACACATCCTGTATAGAAAATAGAAATAACAGAAAAGATGAATATCAGCACACTATCACTACCAATGCAAAAAAATATAACTGACTATGCAGTGAGACGTTGTGGAATTCATGTCCGGGCAGATATAAAGACATGGCGGGAACCTATGTAAAACTCCAATTATAATGCCTCAAGTGATCACATTGTTCATCTTTCCTCAAATCCGAAATACATATACCTAAAACTAAAATAAAATGAGGACCCAAAGTAAATGGGAGAAAAGTAATCTTTGTCAACAACATATACAAAAAGTGACCAAATTATCTATCAAAAAACAACAGAAAATTTTCCTCCTTCAATTGCTTCACTAACAATATGCATATAAAACATTAAAATTTCAAAAAAAAAGGGAAAAAGTGAAAGCCAAATAGACATACGCTTGAGTCCAATTTTGCAGAGCTTGCCAGTGACGACAAGAGCATCACATTGATCTTTGCCAGTGGACAAGCCTTTGGCGGAGAAGAAAGAGAGAACAGAGTTCCAAGTGAGGGAGGAAGCGATGAGGTCCACCCCTCTGCTGATGAAGTGACCGTTCAGCCTCAGCGATGATGGGTCCAGCCCAAAGGCCCGTGAAATGAAGCCCAAGTCGATTCTCTGGTCCTCCCACGCCACCACTTGAGCCACCTTCGAGAGGGAGGGGCATAGCAGCTTTATGTTCAACTCTCTGGGTTTCTTCCCTGACATGAGTAATACCCACACACCACAGCACAACAATGAGAAAAAAAAAACACGGTTTGTGACTTTGCAACAGAATCAGAGGAACTGTTCTGTTTTGGTTTTAAGTTTGATTTAGCCTCTGATACAACACTGGTCTGGTCACTGATGATTGATTTCACTGTTTTGTTCTGTCTGTGCGCTCTCTGTTTTATTTTCCAGAATTTACGATTACTGAGTGTTTTCTCGAAGTGTCTCCAAAAGACACAATGGGATGGGTTTGTGCGCATTGCTCATTGGCTCCTCTTCCATGGATTGGGCCCACTCTAATTCAATCTTTAATACTCTTCTCATCTTTATTTCTAAAAATATAAATTTGGCAATAATTTAGTTTTGAAAGAAGAAAATTCTTATTTATCATGAATTTGTAATATTTAAGCATTAATATTTTATTAAAGGATGAATTTGACATTAAGTGGTAAAGTTTTTTATTACAAAAAAATTAATGTCCTTTAATTATACTTATATTATATATTAAGGCAGTTGTTTCCTCTATCCTCATAATTTCTTCTTGCATCTTATGGTTATATTTAATTTAATTTTATTTTTATATTTATCTTTCGAATGCATTTTGGGAAGATTTATCCGGAAATATATTTTGGAACATCCAATCTGAAATGTTTATTCCGAAAGATTTTTTCAAAAATATATTTTGGAACATCCAATCCGAAATGTTTTTCTAAAAAAGTTTTTTTGAAATATTGAATCCAAAAAAATCAATCTAAAGATGTATGTATTCGGATTAGATGTTTTGAAATATCTTTCGAGAAACGTATTATGAAACACTCGGTTTGAAATATATTTTTAGAAAGATTTTTTCGAAAACGTATTTCAAAACACCCAATCTAAAATACATTTCTAAAAAAGGATTTTGAAAATGTATTTTGGATTTACTTTTTCAGAATTTAACCTCATTTTCGTGACATTGGTTTAGATTAAATAATTTAGGTTTGTTTGTACAACTTGAGTGTATGAAGATGTAATATTAAAGATTACTTACCTTTAATTGATAGAAAAAACCTTCAATAAAAGTGAAAACATAAAAAAAAAAAATCAAATAGCCAAAGGATGGAGATGCAAAAGTTGTATAGAAATGAAAGAAGAAAAAAAAAAGTTAGAATAAAAAATAAATTTATGGGAGAGATATTTTAAATATTTCACTTGAGCATAGAAAAATTATGGGATGAAAAAAACAAGATCCTGTATTAATTATATGAACCTTGCATATGAGCCTTGTGTAGATCTTTCACGGTTTTAACTATTTACTCTTAAGTAATCATTTTAATTATATTATTTTGATTAATTTATTTTACTATGTATTAACCTAATCTTATGTTTTCAGAAATTTTCACGCATTTATCTTGATATGAAGTTTTTGTATGCTGAGCTTGACCAATAAATTTAACATTGAATAATATATTATTAATAAATAATAAATAAATATAAAAAATAATAAATAGTTTATTTAATAAATTTAATGTTTTAATTTAATATTTAAAAAAAAGATTAAAATTATAAATATATAAACCATCAAATTTAAGAAGTTAAATAACATGACATTTATTCATGATATAAAATATTTACTCGTAATAAATATAACTGAATATACACTCATATTAAATATAATTGAATATACATTCATATGACCTTTTTTTCTTAATTAAATTAAGCTGAACAAATTTATAATTGAGTAATAATATGATCATCTTAGATCCTAATCTCCCTCCTATCACACAAAAAAAAAAATGAAACAATAACTATTAACTACTATAATTTAAAATAAAAATGAAAATGATTTCTATCTATGATTAAACAAAATAATGTTTATTAATTAACATAATTACGATAATAAAAATGATTTTTGATTATGATTCTTAGATTATTTGTTAGTGTATAATTTAATTAATGTATTTATTTTTTGTTTTAAATAAAGAAGGTAATAAAATATTATTTACTTTTACAATTTTTTTTAATATATAATGAAAAATAATTTTTACTGCTTTAAATATCCTCACTTTCGATTTAGTATTTTTACTTAAAATATATGAACTACAGTTTTGACTTCTTTAAATGTTGTTCTTACTTTTCGATTTACTAGTTTACTATTTAAAAAAATGATAATTTATTTAAACACTTACTTTTAGTATATATTTTTTTGTTTTTACAAACAAATCGTTGCTTCTAATATATTAAAATAAATTATATTAATATTAATCAAAATTAATGAATGGAAATGTAAAAAAAAATCACATATTTTAAATAACAATAATATATATATATATATATATATATATATATTAATATTAATATTTATATGTTAGAAATATTATTTTATTAAATTTTATTTAAAGTATATGTTTAAAGATTTTTTTATTATCTTTGAAAATAAGAGAAAAAATATTATATTATTATTTTTTATTTAAATAGATATGATTAATATATGATTAATATTTCATATTTTATTATATTTTTATTATATAAAAGTACATAAAATATATATGCATGAAGATATATTCTTTATATAAAAAAATATACATATAAAAAACCTTAAAAATTTCTATTATTATATCACTTCCAACTATTAATCTCATATGAATGATCCACTACTTTGACCAATTTTGAGGTCAAATTTTAAACGCAACCCTCTACTAAAGGAAAAAAATGTCCAATTTTTTTTTTTTTTAACAATTCACATTCTACTATTTGAAATCATTATAAGACTATGTAAAAATGTCCAAATTTTAATTTCTTTTTAAACTTTGTAACCAAACAACTTAATTCATCATAAGAATTTTTAAATCCATGAAACAATAATAATTACCACATTAAATCTCTTCACTCTTCATCCAAATACAAGCTCCAAGAACTATAACCAAATAAATTATCCTAACTTCACCTGAATCAACTATTGCTTTGTTTGGAACTTCTACTAAGTAATAGTCTGCTCCAAGAACTTGGGCAGTTTATTCTTGACATTCTAGCTAACTCCAGAAAAAGGTGCTTCAATACAATGCATGGCACAAAGTTCTTTTCCTAGTAAACAAGCAAGCCAAAAGAAAAAGAATCAGAATGAGAATGTTGATGGCAAAAGAAACAAATAAAAAAGAAAATTGTTCAGAAATTTACAGAATTTGGTTTCAGGGTGAAGAATCTTCTTCCACTGTATTTCAATGGTGTAGTTGCTTGCTTGGTGGGTTTTGCTTGGACTCGAAATTACTGGAAGAGTTGTAAGCAGATTTATAACATTTCAGATCTTTCTTAGTTGCCTTCTCATCACCACCAAACACCCTGCTGAAAACGGTATTTCAAGCCTGAAACTTGAATGCCACATTTTTATTTTCATTTAAATGTTTCTTGATGTCACAAGTCAGTGTTCAGTTTACAAGATTTTCCCCATGATTTTGAATCCTTACTTCATTTATCAATTTTTTTTCATACATTGTGGTTCACTGAAAATGATATTCCATTGAAGTTTTGGTTTTTGATAAGTTCGATGACCTAGTTTGGCCCATATACCCAACCTTGGCATGACGAAGATTTCTTGGTGTTGTATTGTGATTCTATTGTTAGTCTATAGAAAGATAGGTTTGTTACAAATTTATCCATAAACACATCTCAGAAACAGGAAAAAATTTAAATACAATCGATATTTAGTATATATTAATTTGTAGAGGTTTTGTTATATATCTTCTTTACATTTTTTTTCCTACTCTACAAATGTTTATAGAAGTTGTTGCAAACAGCTTCATGGTTTTAAAGGTCTTTGCAATCCTATGGCAATTATAATTGTAGTTGCATCAGTCACAAAACACAAATTAAAACCATGCATCCAGGAATTCGTATATTGGTTGAGGGTGGTTTTCATTTTCTTTATCTAGAATAAATTTATTGAGAAGTGATTGTGACTGGTTCTTAACGAGTATAAGAAACAAGCTAACCACTGTTAGATTTTACAAGGAATGACTTTTTTTTTTCTTTGCAGTCTATCATCTTAATTTATAAAAATGTCTGTTCCAAAAGTGAACGAAAAGTTGCTTGAAGACCTTGAAGTAATGGGATTTCCAAAGGCACGGGCAACCAGAGCACTTCATTATTCTGGTATGTTGATTCATTATATACAGAAATTAAGATATGCAGATTGAAAATTATGAGGACTATGCAAGGTGGTTTTGTTAGAAATCCCACACGAACTAGAAACATGATCAAATTATGATATATAAGTGCTTTTTTAACATTAATAAACTAGAAGTTAAGTAATAAAAAAAATTGTTTTCATTAAATTTTCTGTTCAACGCACTTGTCTATATGAATTGGTTACAAAGATAAACTGTAAAGGAGAAAAACTTGGTCAGCAGATTCAATAAGCTTTTGTAGTTTCAAGGCTCCAGATACCTTCTGGCTGAAGTTAGTTTTATAGTTTCAAATTCAAAGTTCAAATATTTACATGTATTGTACAACAGTGAACAATTTTATGATGGTAATTAATCCATTTCAATGCAACACAGATAGTTTAGGATTTGGCATTTTGCTATTCATGTATATATTTCGTCTAATACAGATGTTTTGCTTTACCAGGCAATACCAGCTTAGAGGATGCTATAAATTGGATCGTTGATCATGAGAATGACATTGATATTGATGAGATGCCATTGGTATTATATCATACTCCAATTTCTCTTTAGGACTATATATTATTTAACTTTCGCTGAATTACTTTTTTTGTCTCTATAGAGTTTGGAATGAATCCGATTTGGTCTCTTTAAGTTTAAAAATATCATTCTAGGTCTTCAAATTCAAAAAAATTATGTTTTTAACTCTAAAATGATTAGGGTCTCCTGCTTCTCACATGCATTCATAAATCATTAAGGTGTATTATCATGCCTGGCTGTGAAACAAAATTTACATAGGAACAGAAAGATGCTTGTTATGTTCCTAATAAGCAGATACATACACATTGATTTATGGAAGTGACTGAAGTTTATTGTTGAATGTAAACCTAGTTTTAAGCATAGAAATATTTCTGCAATGTCCTAGTTTCATCTAAATTACCTTATAAAGTTAAGGACTGATTATCAACCTCATACAATTTGCCTTCTCAATTGTAGCTGCAAGAAATATTGTGGTTTGAATGGTTTTGAAGACCGTGTTGGCATCAGAATATTGTGATTGGAGTTGCAATTGAAAACCATGGTTTAACTTTATTCAATTGTTTACATTTGTACAGGTAGATGTAGACATCGATATAGAGTCCACCGATTCATTCCCTATCTCAGAAGAAATGAGAATCAAAGCACAGATTTTAAGGTTTTTTGACCTTGCTCACTATTTTCATACAAGTTATTAGACTTTGTTCTTTGTATTATGTGAGCACTTGTTTCTTTTTGACATGTTGAAATTGTCTTAACAAATGTTGAAACTAAAGATAACAATTGTCTAACATATGATGCTTTAATTTGAAGCTTCCAGCAAAGATTTCTCTGTTTCTTCTGTCTACTTCCCTTTTTTACTAATATTTCGTTGTTATAGGGAACAAGAGCGTAAGAGGAAAGAGGAGGAAGAGAAAAGATTGGAGAGAGAAAGGGAGAAGGTATAGTAATTTCATATTTTTTCAAACATAGTAGCTGCTTATTTCTTCTACCTTTTGCTTTGTACCCCTACATTGCAGTCGACAGAAATTGCAAACAAGATAAACATGTAAATCAAATGGTGCAATTGCCAGTGTCCTAAATTATGCAACATAAATATATGATAGGAACAGTTTGTTACTGATATAAAAAATGGAGACTAGCTCCTTACAAGAGCAGAGAATTACAGAAATAAAAAGATAAATATAATTCAGCAGATGCACTGAACCTCTACTCTATCCCACACACATTCCCTTTCCTCCTATTCTTGCCTACCTACTCTTCTTCTTCCCTAATATATAGATATTCTTCCAGACTTTAAAATCATGCACATTCTTGTCACTTATGTGTGCTATATTCTCTTTACCTCCCTTTTAGGAGTCCCTTTCTTAAGATGCTTAATTTCTCATAAAACAGTGCAATATCTGTTGTAGAATAACATATATTTAACATGAAACATCATTTGTTTCAAAAGCTATACATGATATGATATGCATGTGGCATCAAGCTGTGAAATGACCCTTTTGTTTCATAAAGTCTCGTATATGAAGTAATTTTTTAGCACGAGTTCTATCCAATTTTTTTATGTTGCTATAAAACTTATAAAGAATATGTAGCGATAAAAGGTGTAATAAGAAGTAAAATAGGCTTGTATTGACCGAGGCATGCGATGGATTGTGTGTAAGAATATTTCGCCAACACTAAAGCATGCAATGAGCTTTGAGAGTCTTTTGAGCTTAAGAGAGTTTCCTTAGAATCTCATTGCATGCAATAAAACTCTGTCAGAAACATTACTCTTTATTATATTCACGTATTTGTATCCCCACATTTATAGAGTATAACTTTATCAGATTCAAACCTTTTGCTGAAATACAGAGACCAAATTGTAACAAATATTAGGCACACGGAAAACATTATTCTAAAGGAGAATTTTCCCATTGGTGAACTTTAAATTAACCTTTTCCTTTACCAAGAACACTATCTGTTCTAGGTTTGCCAAATAATGAACATCCCTCTCCTTCTTCCGTAACATTGCAAAAGTAAAGGCATTTCTGTTGGCACAAATATGCTTGGCAGTCTAATAGAAAATATTATAATCTTGTGACAGCCTAACTAACAGTAGTTAGTTAGTTACAAAATAAGAAAGAATATAGAAGAGAATGAGGAGGAAAGAGGGGGTTTAAACAATCCGAAGAAATAAATTTGGGAGAGTACTGGGCTCACAATCAGTGTAGAAACCATTTTCTCTTATTTCTGATCCATTATCTATCATAGATTCATAGTCCTAGAGTGCAACATGTGATTTCTACTCCACCACAAGATCGGTCTTAGAAACAATTCTGTCCTAACTACGATTGATTTTGGGAGGTCAAATACCATATTATTAATAAATAATAAAAGAATATGAAAAGGTGAGAGACTAAAATTATAAATATTTAAGCATGTATATTTAATAATCATTAAGTGTGAGAGGTCAAAATCAGTTACAAAACTTTAGGGCCATGACCCCTCCATGGCCACTGTTTGGCTGCAACTAGTTGGTTGTTTCTTTTCCTGTATCTAAATGAGCAACAGGGTGTCCTGGTTTTCCACAAACACAACAGCTATTTTTCCTTTTGCTGGTATCTTATGTAGCGATCTGTAGTGATGCTTGTGCCTTGGACCATTTTGGAAGTTCTAATTCTATGGCTGCATGTTAAAGTTTTAAGTCAAAATATGTCCATAAGATTTTTTTTAGTGCCTAGCTCTTTCGCCTTTTCTGCATCGTTCTGCAATTTCTTTTTCTCTTCAATCATGACTATAACTTCTTGTAGATACATATGTTTGATCGTTATGGTGATTCATTAAGTTCTTGTAGTCTTTCCAAGAGTCGGGAGGTTTTCCAATCAATGGTCCTGCAACAAACTGTTCTGACACTACCATCTCATTTGATAATTCAGAACTAGTAATGTGATAGTCATTTTTGACTTCAAAGTATAAACATCTCTTTTCTATAATTTTAGCGTAGTCAATAAACATAAATAACAAGTTGACAATTTGAGTGACGTAACTGTCCTATTAAAATATTGATGAGGATGAATTCCACCAGTAATAAGTCAATCAACACTCACACTTTTGGATATTATCCTATAGATTTCTAATTATAATCTTGATTAAATTAAATCTTTCTGTTTGGCCTAAAACTAATAGTTAGTTCCTGCCTGTGTTTTAACTCTCTAAGCAAATTGTATCTAAAAGAATTTCTAGCCACTGAACAGGTTGGTTTCCCTAATCATAAAGTTAGTAGAGATTTTATAACTCTTTTATAGCTTTGAATGCAGGAGAGGATTCAAGCGGGTAAGAGACTCCTTGAAGCAAAGCGAATTGCTGAAGAAAATGAGAGAAAACGGTA